GCAATAGCCTTGTGCAATCTGTGTCTTTTCCAGATCAACAGTTCAGTTATCGAAAACCTTCCCCTGTCTATTATAAGGCTCCTCACAACTCTGATATAAGGTTTACTGCAGATTTTTTTACAACCTCCATTCTTGTGCTTAAATGTAAAGAACTATAGGGTCATTTGTTTGCTGCTTGCCCTTACTAGATGTGTTTTCTTTTATCTTCATATGAGAATTCATAGATGGATATGATTTCAGGCCAAAGAGGGTCTATGTGGATACTCTCTTTTTAGAAAATGCCAAATTGCAGTGTTTACTGATCGGTTACTAACACTAAAATGAGCATCAGTTTCTTGACCGAGGTTGGGCTTTTGAGCATAGAACGCATTTCTCCCTGACAACAAATGGCTGTTTTGAAGAAATATTGCATGGAGCTTTTACTGTTCAGTAGGCATACATTATCCCTGCAGACTAATTGCAATAACTGTAAGCTGGAATTTGCTATACGGGTTATTCAGACTGAATCAATCCTGAGAGAGTTAAAAATACAATATTTGTAATTTTGAACATTTTCTTTCTACACTAGGCCGTTTCGATGTGACTCAAATAGATCTCATGGAAACAACACTGCCATGGAAACATTACACAGTACTATATTATGATCCAAAACAAAGACTCTTAATTTTTATTGCATACAGTGAATGACACTGGTTTACAGAGGTAATTGTGAACAACAGCAATTTGCCACCATGCTTATCTTTGCAGGTCATTCGTCCTTTGCCACTGCAGTATTGAGCTCAGTGATGTTGTGCAATTGAATTATTTACACTCATATACTCCAACACAAACTGTGACTCCGTAATTGTTCATATCATAGCTAATTCCAAAAGAAAAGACACTCTCTTTGTACTAGTGTAGGTGCAGGTAACCTTTTTGACATGAAGTGCTATCCCATCATTTACACAGTGATGCTTGCATAACAAAAAGCAACAAAAAAGAGACCAAAGTGCTTTAGCGCTGCCCTGAGTGCTGCCGCACTACCCAACCGAACCACACAGCGTGACCCACAGGTCACCCCATCCATTAACTTGCACAACCCATTGCAGCACAGATCAGTTTTTGTCAGATTTATGGTTTGGTTGTTTACAGTGAAGAATATTCCACGTATTTGTTGCCAGTTGCCACATGGAGATCTAGAGAAAATTATCAGCATCAGGTAAATTTTCCAACACCTTCATTTGTGGGTTTAATCTTTGATTTGAATCACTCATATCATTTGTATAATCATGGGTTGGATTATCATACTTAAAATTTAAATTAAATATTTTATTCACTTCCCAAAGCTACGTTTTACTCGCATTAAACCCTTAAAAATAAAGGTTATTTTTTGATATCTATCTATTTCACTAAAGGTTCTTTATAGTGGAAAAACGTTCTTACGATTTTTTAAATGTACACTAAGAAAAAAAACCCAGTTCTTTTGAGCACTGTTCAGCAAAAATGCTTCTTCTATGGCATCACTGTGCAAACAGTTATGGAATGTATAGGGCCCTATTTTAACGATCTAAGCGCATGGTCTAAAGCGCACGGCGCAGGTGCACTTAGGGCGTGTCCAAATCCTCTTTTGCTAGTTTAACGACGGGAAAAACGGTCGGCGCGCCCGGCGCATGGTCTAAAAGGGTTGTCCCTATTCTCTTAATGAGTAATGGGTGTGTTTTGGACATAACGTGCAATAAACCAATCAGAGTCTCATCTCCCATTACCTTTAAGAGCCAGTTGCGCTCGTGCCATGGCGGATTTGCTATTTACATGTAGGAATTTGCAAGTGCAAAGACAGAAGGCGTCTCCAGAGATGAAACGGAGCTGCTTGTGCGTGAGCAAAGGTAGCATAATTCTGATACATGCAATGACTATCCATTATGACATGTAGGCATTTTTATATTTATGTAGCCTACACAATAATAATCTTTTACATTGCAATCCTTTAATTTTTAATATTTGGCATGTTTGTGTGCTGCTGTGTGTCCCTGTGTGTGTGTGTGTAATAAGCAGAGTGTACGCACGCTGTGGACCCGCCAATACTAGCGCGCTCTTTAAATAACAAAAATACTACTGCGCCATTGACTTTAGACCAGGGGCCCTATCATACACCCGGCGCAATGCGGCGCAAGGCGCGGTGAAAGTGTTTTTGCTAGTTTCAGCCCGACGCAGTTCTCATTTTCCCGTCCTGCGCCGCGTTGTTAGTGTGTGTGTGTTTGTTCACTACTCACTGCTGTGTGTGCGCACACTTGGATGGCTTAAATGCAGAGCACAAATTCAGAGTATGGGACACCATACTTGACCACATGTCACTCAAATCTATTTCAGACTTCTATTTTTTTCTTTTGAATTTTCTATTACTCAAAGAATTCTAAAAAATGTATTATGGATTCCACAAAAATATTAATATATTAAATATTAATATTTTTAAAATACATTTATTTCATACTAAGTATAGTTCAAATCTATTAACATATTTAATAACATATTGCTAGAGACTTACTGATATAAAAATTATAATTAAACTTTGAGTACTACCTGTGCACAATGCATATTTTTAAATATTAAACCTAAAATGTGTTTTAATGTCATTATTGATGAGTATTGTATGATCTTTGAATAATATCGGCCTTAATGCAAGATATTTAAAGTGTAGCTGAAATATACTTGCAATAGTTCCACTTTAGCACAATTAAATATACTTCTGTATATCTTTAGTTGGACCTCACCTCAGCACTACTTCCGCACAATTAAAGTGCATTAAGTACAAAATTTGTTGTTAGAATTTAGCAGACTTTGAGTATACCAGTTTAGTATGCTAAAAGTACAAATACAGGGTATTTTTATTAAGTACATAAATATGTAAAGGTATTTGCAGCATACTTAGCATGAAATAAATGTATTTCAAATACATTTTAGTATATTTATTTTTCACTAGGGACAGCACAACTTTGATAATAATAAGAATGTTTATTGAGCACCAAATCAGCACAATGAATGATTTTTGAAATATCATGTAACACTGAAGACTGGAGTAATGACTGCTGAAAATTTAGCATTGCCATCACATAAATAAACTATATATTTAAATAAAATAAAAAAAAGAAAATAGTTATTTTAAAATGTAATAATATTAAAACTAAATTGTAATACATTATTCCTAATTTTACAGTTTTGATCAAATAAATGTAGGGGAGAGCGGGGCACAACACTTTTTTACTTTCTCAGTTTGTGTAAATCCACATGGGGTTCAGAGTATAATTTTTTTATCCACAGTAATTTCACACTTGTCTAGAACAAATATGTCGCTTTGTTTCATTATTACAATGTATACGTTTTTCTTAATTTACCCTAAAAAAATGGAAGTGAAATGTGACAACATGCCCTGTAGGTGGGGTACATTGTAACATCTGTAACATGACCACATGACAACTTAAAATGTTATCTGATCTACTGAAAAAAATATACAAGACAAACTAAAATATTTTGTCAATAAAATACAATTATTTTTTTCAAATGAAATAATGGTGTTTTTTAAGAATGAAAAATAATGGGACGACAAAGGCCTCCTGTAGTGAATCGATGCGTTTTTGTAAGAAAAATATCCATATTCAAAATGTAATCACTTTAATCTAGCTTGCGCCAACAGTTGTACACAGAAGCAGCTCCGGGCTGATGACGTATGAGTTCGGCATTGCGCATGCGCTGGTGAGTCTCGTGAAAACCAGCGTTTGTTAACAGGAGCAAAGGAAGCAAAGTTTCCTTACTTTAGCAAAGGAAAACCAGTCTCCTCTTGGCTTATATCAAAATCCTCTGACATTCTTCTTTACAAATCCTCATTCTGTACTTCTAATTCATGACCGTTGTTTTTTTTTTTATCTCTCTGCTGCATTTCCGTATGCGTCACTTCTGAGCGGCACATGCGCAAAGCTGACCTCATACGTCATCCGCCCGGAACTGCTTCCATTTACAACAGTGAGCGCACGCTAGATTAAATAGATTATTACGTTTTGAATATGGATATTTTTCTTACAAAAACGCATTGATTCGCTACAGGAGGCCTTTGTTCACCCCCCGGAGCTGTGTGAGACACTTTTTTTTATGGATGGGCGCTCTTTATTTCACTTATTTGGACTGAAGCACTGCAACACCCGCTAACTACAATGAAACAGCTTGAAAGATCAAAGACAATTTTTAATATAACTCCGATTCGTCTGAAAGAAGAAAGTCATATACACCTAGGATGCCTTGAGGGGGAGTTATTTATGGGCTAATTTTCATTTTTGGGTGAACTAACCCTTTAAGACTAACATATTGATACAAACATTTAATTTTGATTTCTTGAAATAATAATTTCTGAACATAAAACATTGATTGTCAGTCTTTATTCACCTGATTCTCGTGGTTTCTGATTAAAATTCATTAAAGCAAATAGTGTAAATTGCATCACTAATGTCATAGAATAGCATAGTTTAATAATAGTAACACAGTGTTACAACGTTCCCCATCTGCGCAACTGGAATTTAAAACTGGTTAGTATCTTCTGCTAGTTAGCAAAGCATTAAAATCTAAACTGATAAATAACAGATTGGAGATTAAAATAATTGGAGATTTGTCTCATTTTAAATTAATACTAAAAACTGAGATGAAAAATATATAAGCCAGAAATGTACTTTTACTATGGAAAAAAAAAATTCTTCAGGGATATCTTCAAAAGATTTTTGAATTTTGGTGCCCGTTTTTCTTTATAGTTTTTATATGGTAACTAGTAAATACCGTAAATTTATGTTATGCTAGCATGTGTGGAAATATACAAACCATGTGTGTTACAACTAACCCCGCATTAGTTTGTGCCCCGCACTCCCCTAGCCTTGATTAATTAACATAAGATTCTTCCTTCAAAAAATAAAAAAATCCACCCAAATTTGTGAACGATCGTGTGTATATATAATTATATCTCACTTTTTCCTCACATTTACCCTTTCGTGTACCAGCAGTGGCACTCGCTTCTAAGGCTTCCATCCCTTTGCTAGCGTTAGCCGTTCCCGCGTGTTTTGTGAAAGTGGAAGATTGGGTGATATTTGTGCTATCGCTCGTCCTGTGTAATCAGCATGCTGTGTCTGAGGTGTGTTTGAGGCTGAGTGGTGTGAAGCTGCCGTGCTGATTCTCGTCTGCGCTCATGTTCAGCCTTGCTGCTCTTCTCAGCGACTTCTGACTGTAACACACTGATATAGGAGGCAAAATCAGAGAGGACAAAGTGACCTTATTGCGCTCAATGAGGGGAGACATGTGTGAAGGTGACTAATGGCCCATATCTGGGCGAGAACGAACGTGCGCATGAGTTTAACAATGTATTACTGAAAACAAATTATAACTCCGGGAATGACTACACCACTCCACTGATTATAGCAATCCCTGACCATTTATAAAGGAGCCATGTGGACAGTGACTAATAGCGGAGGAAGCACGGTAAACAGGTAATATTTGTAAAGAAATGTGTACTGTAAAATCTCATCTGTTGTGTAAGATTTACATGCTCATCTTATTTCCGCTTCCTATATCCTGACTTAACCCCTCAAGTCAAATTTAGTCATAGCAGTGTTTAGGGCCTTTCGCACCGCTTTAGTTCCAGAACTAAATGTACAGTACTAAAGTATTGGGACGATTTTGCGTGAACTATTTCCCAGTACTATTTAAAGGGTTGCATTCGCACCGACAGTGTACTAAGAAGTTACGTAAGCCGGTCGACAGCGTCGTCATTTGTGCGC